CCCACGTCCCCTGCATCGGCAGGCGGACTCTCAACCACTGTGCCACCAGGGAAGCCCTCACACCTGTAGCTTTTAAAACAACTTCATAGACTGTTCTCGCTCCAAGATTCCTCAACACATAGGGCCCTGGTGGGTGACCTTGATAATAGTCATAGAGAATGTCAGTGACCCCTGAATGGAGTCAAAACTAGGACTCTGGGCCACTTAGCCTCAAACCCACGGAATGAGGATGATGTCTCAGAAGAGAAATGACTGCTTGTGCCGTGAAATGAGTACATCCTCTGCCTGGGAGGGACAGTTGTTGGGATTGGGGGACATGCCCCCCACTTATAAAATGAAAGGAAGGATTTAGTTGCTATTAAACAACCAAAAGAAAAAAAAAGTTCCTCGGGAATCAAATTAGTCTTGTCAGTTATCCCCTGGAAGTTTATCCACACGGAACATCCTTCAAGCATCTTTACATTTAGCAACGATTTTACTTGAGTGTTCTTTTATGACCCCAATTGCTATTGTTTACAACAGAAAAGTTTTTAAAAGTTCCATGACCAAGCCATCTCCGAGTTCCTGGGTAAGAGGATAATCTGGTGTTAGTCTGAGACAGTGATTTATTCCTTGCATGGAGTTGGGATCAAGTAGCACTTTAGACAAAAATCACATAACTGGAGAGTAAAGCAGGAACACCCCCCGTCCCCCCCACACACACCTGATCTCCAGCCCTCAGCTGGCATTTGTAACACTGAGCATGACAACATGGACATTGAATAGGAAAACATGTTATCACTGGCATTCTTCCTTTTTCTTAGTTTTGGCTGCAGAGATGGCAATTGCTAGAAGTGACAAAGCTTTACAGCTTCACAAAGTACAATTTAAAAATACGTAATTAGGATTAGGGGACCATAGATGTTCAGAACCAGAAAAGACTCCTTCAATTTCTAGATGAGGAAATGGAGGCCAGAGGGTTGAAGGGCCTCCCATGATCAGTTATCACTCAAAGATTGCAAAGCTTCCCAACACTGGTGGGCAGAAAAGCAACGCTGGCTTGGATGAAACTTTTGGAACAATAGTCTCTATTGTTTTGTTTATCATCACATCACCCAGACCAAGCCCTGTCTAGGTGCTTCACACATAACATTCCTTGTCCATTCAACTGCACTAGGTAAGTATCATTACTTGTATTCAAAGATGAGGAAATGAATAAATGGAGAGGACAGATGTATTTGCCAGCACAGAACTGAAACCTAAGTTAATTTCATTCCGAAATCCATGCTCTTTCCAGGAAGTCTTGCTGATCCCTTGACTACTGTTTGCTCTTTTTAATCAATAATTAACATAATTGTGTCTTTTTAGCTATTAGACATACTATCCTTTGATTATTTTGGTCTCATTGATTTTATATTTAGAGTACTATTATCAGATATTTGTCTCCTTCCTAGAATTTCTCTATTTAGCACTTAAATAGTTAAATGGAAATTTTCATCCTGTTTTTCTTTATAATTTTCAGACCGACAAAAACTCTTACTGTGATGTTGACAAAGGGACGGATATAAAAGGAAAAATAGTTCAAATGAAGAAAATCTGAACGTAACTAGGTTATTTTCTCAATAATCAAGGAAAAATAAGATCCAAATTGTTCTAAATATAATTTCATCATGACTTTGTGTTATTTTGTTTGTGTGTGTGTGTGTGTGTGTGTGTGTGTGTGTGTGTGTGTGTGTTTTAATTTATTTAATAATTTATTTATTTTTGGCTGCGTTGGGTCTTCGTTGCTGAGCATGGGCTTTTCTCTAGCTGCGGCGAGTGGAGGCTACTCTTCATTGCGGTGCGCGGGCTTCTCACTGCGGTGGCTTCTCTTGTTGCGGAGCAGGGGCTCTAAGCGTGCAGGCTTCAGTAGTTGTGGCTCACGGGCTCTAGAGTGCAGGCTTAGTGGATCTTCTCGGACCAGGGCTCGAACCCATGTCCCCTGCATTGGCAGGCGGATTCTCAACCACTGCGCCACCAGGGAAGCCCTGGGGTTTTTTTTGTTTTTGTTTTTTTTTTAAGAAGATGTTGGGGGTAGGAGTTTATTAATTAATTTATTTATTTTGGCTGTGTTGGGTCTTCGTTTCTGTGCGAGGGCTTTCTCTAGTTGTGGCAAGCGGGGGCCACTCTTCATGGCGGTGCGCGGGCCTCTCTCTAGCGCGGCCTCTCTTGTTGCGGAGCACAGGCTCCAGACGCGCAGGCTCAGTAGTTGTGGCTCACGGGCCCAGTTGCTCCGCGGCATGTGGGATCCTCCCAGACCAGAGCTCAAACCCATGTCCCCTGCATTAGCAGGCAGATTGTCAACCACTGCGCCATCAGGGAAACCCGCCCTGTTTGTTTTATTTTTAAACAGTAAAATCATTTAGGGCTGCAAGTCATCTCTTCCCTCCCCACCTCCCTACCTACCTAGTTTTAACTGTATCCAGTAGGGTTTTTGTTTGTTTGTTTGTTTTTTAAATTTATTTTTGGCTGCATTGGGTCTTTGTTGCTGCATGCAAGCTTTCTCCAGTTGTGGCGAGCAGGGGCTACTCTTCATTGCGGTGTGTGGGCTTGTCATTGCCGAGGCTTCTCTTGTTGCGGAGCACAAGCTCTAGGCACGTGGGCTCAGTAGTTGTGGCTCACGGGCTCTGGAGCGCAGGCTCAGTAGTTGTGGCACATGGGCTTAGTTGCTCCATGGCATGTGGCATCTTCCCGGACCAGGGCTAGAACCCATGTCCCCTGCATTGGCAGGCGGATTACTTAACCACTGTGCCACCAGGGAAGGCCCCAATAGCTTTTGATATAATGTTTTTTTCCTATTCTCTTTTGGATGCTTAATTTGTGTCTTCAATTCTGATTTCCTCTTTGAACCAAGAATTATGTGGAAGAGGTTTCTTAGTTTTTCAATAATTACGGGATTAAAAAACCCTTTTCATTATTGATTTCCTATTTGAAAGTTAAAGAACAAATCTCTGCTTTGGGAAAATTAGCAAAAATTTTTTATGCCAAGATTAATTTGTGTATTAGTTGAATATCAGAAGAAAAAATGTGTAGTTTATTGTATTTTTCAAGCCCCTTCTACCTTTGCCTCAATTGCATATTTGACCTGTCAAATTCTGAGGCAATAATATTTGAAACATTCCACAGTAAAAATGTTTTCATCAATGTCTCCTTGTATTTCTGGGATTTTTGCTACATATTTTTGGCTATGATGTTGTTTATCAAATGCTTATGACTTTTACAGAGTTTCTTCATTAATTAATTTTTTCCCCATTACATGTTATTCCTCTTTGACCCCGTTAATGATTTTGACCTTAAATTACATTTTAATTGATATTCAAGTTGCCATTCATGCCGGGTTTGTATTTTATTTGCATTTACTTAATTCCCAATTTTTCTTTTTTTGCTGTTTATGTCTTTCTTGGAGCACTGGGGACTGTAGCTGTGGCCAACCAGTCATTTCATATGGATTCTCTCTTAGTTTAGTATATATAGTGGGACTTCCTGTCCTCACAACACTCTCCAAATCATGGTCCATATTCCATCGGGATCTTAAACCAAATATTAAAAAAATGAGTAGTCCTTCATTCAATAAATATTTATCGAACACCTGCCATGTGGCAGTGTTGTAGGTCATGGGAATATATTTGTAGTGAAAAAACATACATGGAGCTTACATTCTAGAAGAAGGGACAGATCAAAAACAAGTCAAAATGAACAGTATAATTACAAAATCTAAGTGCCACACACAGTGTAAGCAGTGCTATGATGGGGGGGGGGTGCTCCTGTGAGGAGGCCTCATTTAAGCTGACCCATTAAGAGGGGAAAGAGGCAG